TCCCTGTAGATAAAAATAATGTTTGTTAGTCTCTCTAAAACTCAAGACCGGCTGGACCAATTTAGCTAATTTTGGTTTTGGAATTTTTCGCCAAGGAAGTGTCTATAAGAAGTGATGAGAAACTCTAAAAATATTTTTTTTTTGTACTTATTTAAAACTCTCCCTGTAGATAAAAAATGAAATAATGTTTGTTAGTCTCTCTAAAATTCAAGACCGGCTAGACCAATTTAGCTAATTTTTGGTTTTGAATTTTTCGCCAAGGAAGTGTCTATAAGAAGTGATGAGAAAATCCTAAAAAATATTTGGTACATTTAAAACTCTCCCTGTATTAAAAATGAAATAATGTTTGTTAGTCTCTCTAAAATTCAAGACCGGCTGGACCAATTTAGCTAATTTTGCTTTTGGAATTTTTCGCCAAAGAAGTGTCTATAAGAAGTGATGACAAAATCCTAAAAATATTTGCACGCATTTAAAACTCTCCCTGTAGATAAAAATGAAATAATGTTTGTTAGTCTCTCTAAAATTCAAGACCGGCTGGACCAATTTAGCTAATTTTGGTTTTGGAGTTTTTCGCCAAGGAAGTGTCTATAAGAAGTGATGAAAAAATCCTAAAAATATTTGCACGTATTTAAAACTTTCCCTGTAGATAAAAATGAATAATGTTGGTCTCTAAAATTCAAGACCGGCTGAACCAATTTAGCTAATTTTGGTTTTGGATTTTTTCGCCAAGGAAGTGTCTATAAGAAGTGATGAGAAAATCCTAAAATATTTTTTTTGTACTTATTTAAAACTCTCCCTGTAGATAAAAAATGAAATAATGTTTGTTAGTCTCTCTAAAATTCAAGACCAGCTGGACCAATTTAGCTAATTTTGGTTTTGGATTTTTAATTCTCAAAATAAAATAAAAAAAAAAAATCCTAAAAATATTTTAAATGTATTTAAAACTCTCCTGTAGATAAAAATGAAATAATGTTTGTTAGTCTCTCTAAAATTCAAGACCGGCTGGACCAATTTAGCTAATTTTGGTTTTGGAATTTTTCGCCAAGGAAGTGTCTATAAGAAGTGATGAGAAATATGGTAAATGACAATTCTTGTAATTGTTAATAAATATTAGGATAAAAAAAATGCTTATTGGAAATATTTCCACCAAAAAAATTAGGTACAACTAAATAGATTAAGGAAGGAGAATATCAATCAAATTATCTGAATTAAGTAAGTTCAGGTATAGTTATTTTTTAAGAGCTTACAGTGAAAATCTATTTTCCCCTGACATAGAAAGTTGGTATGGTTTATACTAAACATGATAGCAATCAAACACCAACATACTATCAAAAAAATCGTCTTACTTTTTAATAATATAAAATTTGTTCGTACAATTTAACACTTTATTTTACATGGTACTGTCATATATTAACAAATATTATCTTTTCTACGAGTTAAGGAGAATAGAAAATTATCCACAACAATCTCTTTTAATCTTCTTTATTAAGAAATGTTTTATTAATTATTATCTGGATTTGTCTCATAAATTGATAAAAATATATGATAAAAAAATTCTAAATATCGGGTAGAGGATGATACTGCTTTCCCCATCTTGAAGATTACTTTCAAATTCTATCTAATAATGTTATACTTACTCACTTAACTCAATAAATAATAGATTAAGTATAACTAAATCAATTATACTTAATCCCTACAATTTAGTTTAAATGTTTATAACCGAATTAAAGATATTGTGTCAGTTATTAATCTTTTTAATATAAAGAAGCCATAAACCATCAGTGGAATATTATGTATTTAAAGTCTGTATTTCCTTTAAACTATACAGGTTGGCGCCCCTCATTCGCCTCGGTTGATTATACGAAAACGGAAATATGTAGAAACAAAATATTTTATCTGTATATGTGGGGAGACAATGTGCACCATTTAAAATTATTTTGAAATATCCAGGGTGTTTCAGAACTAAGATTCTTACCAAAGTTATATTTTTTCTTATGGAACACCCGGTATTTTATTTCATTGTTGGATTCTTGGGCCCAAAAAAAGGCATATGTTATAAGGGTTAAATATGTTTAAAATCATAAAGATGTTTAAATATGCATACTACAATAGAATAGATTATTAACACTCTGTACATTACTTTTTACAATTAATTCTTGTGCTGAGTTTAAAGCTCGGAAAATAAACTTTACTGAAAAATTGTTTTCCTAAATTTATCCAGGGGTACCAAAAATTGTTGATCTATTTTAAAGATTAATTTTATATGAAAAATTCGTTATTTCAAATGCAACACCATGTATTTTTTAAAAATAAATCGAAGCAGATTCAAATGCTCTTTCAAACTATATTAGGGTTTTCTATACCTATCTATAGTAAATTCAACCCCAAGATGCACCAAACGTAAACAGAGACATGAGACAAGCACGTGAACAGGAACGCTGTAGTAATATAACCAGACCGCACTAAGGTCGGATATTTCAAATCATAAAATTATTATGTATATTTTTATGATTTTTTTTTACTATTGTTTATATTTTATGATGGAAATTTATATTATATAAATGGGTAATTATTTTGAAAACTGGAAATCCGCTCCCATTTTTAACACTAAAATTGGTATACACCCTCTATTTGAGGTCGTAGATTACGAATCTGACCAAACCTAACCAACCAGCGGTCTTACTCTTTTCAGAAAAACGGAAAATAATTTCAACATTGAATTTTTCTTTGGCTTCAGCCCTATAAAGTAATAATTTCACTATATTTTATTATATCATAGTTTATCTAAAAGCCACTTGATTGAGGATTGAAAATGTCCAAAATTTTACTGAAAAACACTTTTCTAACAAAATTAAGCAAAGAAAATTGAGACCAGATGGAAGTTTGACATTTCATATATTCTTTCTTTCTCTCTCCTATGTAATGAGAGACAAATATTGAATTTTTTCGGGTGATTAGAATTTTAAATAAATTACCTATTATGAGATCTGACACAGATACCTATATCCAGAAAGTTATGGAAGAGTTTTAATTACATTGCTTAGGGTTGATATTTTATGTTATATTATATTAAAAAAAATTAAACCCTTCGCAGCAAGTTATATAAAGACTATTTATAAGCACGAAGTTGCATGAAAGAGTTTTGATTGCATTGGTTTCAACTTTGCGGAGGCGTTAATCTTTTTTGCTTGTACTAATTTTGGTGAAATTGACGATTTCCAGTTTTCTCAATAATTACCTTTAATTATTATCAAACTACATATAATTAGAGAAATAAAGTGATGGGAAGGGGCGGAATATTAAAATATTACATTACTCTTTGGCACGAGCGATTTTAACAAATTTTGGTGTTTTTTAAAAGTGCTTAATTTGTCCTTTTTAAAATAATTATCTTTTTATTTGGTACTACTGATTTTTTTTATTTTCATTATTGACAGCAATATCTGAATATCGGTATAAATAGGTATCTGTTTCTATAATACTATTTGGTAAAATGCAATGATGTAAACGTTTTTACATCATTTAAAAGACCACTGTATTATAACATAATTTAATACATTTTAGTTGACAAAAAGCACTTAGTTTTAACATGCTTTCGTAGCCTGCCATCCGTTTCCAGTATAACGACATTTTTTTTGAAAAAACTAGTCAAATAAAAACTTTATTTTTAAACATAACATTTACTAACATTAGATTTACAAAATTTATAATTTTATTAACATTTACAAATAATAATTTTTATATAAAAATATATAATCCACTTTTTTGTAGGCATGTGTGTACTAATTGTAAAATATTTTATGCAAACTTAAATATTATTTTCTCTATTTGTAACTTGTAACTTTGTACGAAGTGATCACCATTATTGGAAATAGTTGACCGTTCTTGATGTTACTCGCTTGGGTTGGGAATAAATTTTAAAAGCATTTTTATTTTATCAAACAGTATTTCTAACGCGCTATGCAAGCCGACCCTGTAAAAAATTCTCAACCGCCTACCTCAACGGCTCTATGGCTGGCCGGCCAATCAGGGTAGATTTCGCCGCTGGCACGTGCTGATCACGCACTGTGCATTTGTTTATACTTGTGCATTTTGAATTTGAATACAGTTTAGCTCAGATTTTGAATAAAAACCGATTTTTCAGTAAAATCGCAATCAAGATGGCTGGTGTCGCCATGGCAATTTTCTAGTGACATTTAGTAACTATTTTCCAAATCGACATTAGTTTATGGACATTGTTATTTATATTTATAACAGTTTATTTAAATTTACCTACAATAGTTTAATAAGTATGTATATCAAGAAAAATAAACCAGTATCTGCTAGCGGAAGAATGAACATAGCATTAGTGATTTTATTTTGTGAGGAAAATTGCTTCTTGACTTCGCAGGCTTAATGATATCCAAATAGAATTTTCCTACAAGCGTTCCTTGAAAAAACTACTTGTTCTATTTCACAGAGCTGGTAGTGGTTTATAAAAACCTATTAGGCAGAAACCTGTCGTTGGAAGTACAAAATGAATGGCTGCAATTCTTATATCTACAAGTCATCGTAAAATAAATCACAGAACTACTTTTCGTTTTTCTTGATAGAACAATAAATACATATTTAATAAATATTATTTATTAAACTATTATAGGTAAATTAAATAAAAGTAAACTGGTATAAATTTAAATAAAGTCCATAAACTAATTTCGATTTTGAAAATAACTAAAAAAGTTATAGGGATGAGTCACTTTTGAGACGCACCCGGTATACTACCTATGTTTTTTAAATGGAGATTGAAAAACAAACAAAAACAAACAAAATAAAAAATGCTTAAATTTTTCTGTTTGTGGGATTCTTACTTAAGACTCACATTGTATATCAGAACAGTTATAGATATCTGTTCCTTAACTGTATTTTCTAGATGATATATAATATTTCCGAAATAAACGAATTATATCCCGATAAAAATACCAATAAATCAAACTATTTTAAATGCAAGGAATGTAATCAGGAAATAAGTATCAGTGATACTTTTTACACATTTAGTTCATTACAGAACCTTTGTAGGGAACCTACAGAACCGTACAAAAATGGCTTTAAAAGTGATATTAGTACTTTGCCTGGTTTTCGTTGGTATCGAGTCTACTCTCTCTAGGTTTAATGGTAGGTTTATTAGTTCAATAATTACTAGAGATGTGCTATTACTTTTTCCTGTTGTTTTAAGCTGAGAAATTAGCCGCGTATGATGCCAAATTTAAATCCTTAAATAATGATACTAGAATCGTGGGCGGCGCACCTGTGGATATTTCATCGTATAGGTACCAAGGTTCTCTTCAAAACTGGCATAGACACAGGTGTGGAGTAGCTTTGATTTCAAATATATGGGTTTTGACGGCAGCTCATTGTACGAAAACGTAAGTATTTTCATACATTTTTCTAACGTATTTATTTTATTAGTGTGCCTAAATAGGAAAATAGGCATTAGCCTAGTGTTTTTCAAAAATGTGAATTTTCAACAAATCGCTGTAATTTTTTTGCTATGGAAAATTTTGTATTTTTATGAAAACATTTCTAAAACACCTTTTTACGTAGAATTTAATGGTTTAAGTATAATTTTTTTAAAATTAATAATTTAAGAGTTATCATCAAAAAATTTGATTTTTTATATAAAAAATAATTTAAAATTACCTTTCCAAAAATATAGCACACTTGCTATTTTGCTCGATTCTTCTTCGAGACATAGAGTTTATATACATATTATATATATATAAATATGTCGACTTTAAATAAGTAGGCTAGAACGGTGCCGGCTGTAATGCAAAAAAAATTAGCTGTGAGCAGCATCTAAAGCGGAAATAATATTTGCAATGAGAGATGCAGAATTTTATAACAATTTAAACTATATTTCATCAACATCAACCTATTTAAACTATATCTAATAACAATAAAAATGAATAGCAAACCAAGACATGAGATTTTGCTACAGGTGTTCGACTTATCTATCAACTGTTATGGACATATGGGGCTGTTTTTGAACATTTCTCGCGGAATTCATTAACTCAGTAGGGGCGAAAGACCCTCTCATAACTGCTAAGTATTTCTAATTCTTGTCTAGATTATACGGGCAATTTAAAAATAAGAACCTTTATCCTTCCGCAAAGATATCCATAGGATTAGATTCATAGGCACTAAGTACGGCGGCCTCGACGGCCAACGGCTGGGATCTTGGCTAGCTATTCAATTATTGTTGAAATTGGCTCCAAAAATTTGCTGATAACTTCAGCCTTCTGAGGTGATGCCTCGTCTTGCTGGAAAAATATGTTTTCGAGTTCCATTAAGGGCATATCATCAATAAGGTGTCCAAAGCCTACTAGTTAAAAGTGGCAAACTGCATTCTTGTACTTCGAAGGGCTACAAAAAATATCAAGTGTGCTATTTTTGGAAAGGTAATTTTAAGTTTTTTCAGTTAATTAAAATATACAGATAACCCAAATAAAAAACTAATTTTTCTGTTGGTAAATTTTAAATTAAAAAATAGGATTAATTTAAAAAATATACTTTAAAACCAATTAATTGCTGCAAAGGTGCTTTGGAAATTTTTTCATAGAAATACAAAATTTTCCATAGCAAAAAAGTTACAATGATTTGTTAAAAATGCACATTTTTAAAAAAGACACCGTAACTCCCAAACAGTAACAGATATCGATGTGCGGTTTTCACCATCATGTTTTTGATTAAAATTGAGCTACAGATACCGATATTAGTTTTCATCTATCTCCTATAGAAAAGGGCCTTTAAAAGCGTCCAAATTGATCCACCCTGTACGTTTGACGGACGAGCGTTAGCGGTGTCCGACATTCAGGCGATGCACAAAAAGTAATTTTTAGTCCGAATAGAACATGCTATTTTTTTCAAACGTCCAAAAATAATTTTTTAAACAATTATTTTAAACGTTGAAAATAGTATAAAAATATTTAAAGGTAATACCTTGTATACAGTGTCCGGCAATAGTGCGTCGGGCATCTGTAGCTCTTAGAATAAAAAACTTGAGAATTTTGTTTAAGTGCAAACCTAAAATATGTATGAGGATGTATTTCCGGAAAATATTTTAACTTCTATAGGGTGGCTCAAAAGTGTGAGGATCGGGATGATCGGACTTTTTAAAATGGAACAGCCTGTATATTATTGTGCTTTTTGGCTTTCTTTTCGGATCACTTTACATAATCCTAAGATATGAGTAACTTATTTCGATAGTTTCAGATATATTAAAAATAATTAAAAATTCGTTTTTCAACACTTCTTAAAAAAAAAAATATTAAAAATACAAGAACTTCTGAAATCAAAACTATATTAGATAGAGGGTCTGTTCTATTATAAATATGGTAATCGTAAATCATACAAGGTGTTCAATATTTTACGCCAAACTTTCAAAAATATAAAATAATTCTTGTTCGTTTTTTTTAAATGGTACACCCTGTATATTATTTTTTTATTTGATGTAGAATTAAAAAAAGGATTTTTTTTTTATTTAAAGTATTTCAAAATTTTTAATAGTTTTCCGGATACACGCAGTATTATTTCATATGGCGCATTCAATGGTAAAATACGAGAGAAAAATTAATTGGGTGGCTTTGATAAAAATTTACTGTAGAAAATGCCATATGAAATACAAAACCGGGAATATCTGCGAAACTGTCAAAAATTTTGAAATACTCTAAATGCAAAAAATGTTCATTTTTTAATTCTCCATCTACTGAAAAAATAATATACAGGGTGTTCCATTTAAAAAAACAAAGAAAAATTATTTTATATTGTAGAAAGTTTCGCGTAGAGTTTTGAACATTCTGTATGATTTACTATTTCCATATTTATAGCAAAGTAAGTACAGACCATTTAAGGTAAATGGCTAATATAGTTTTGATTTCAGGACAGTTCTTGTATTATTAATAATTTTTTTAAGAAATGCTGAAAAATATATAATTTTTTATTTATTTATTAATATCTCTGAAATTATCGAAATATATTTACTCATGTCTTAGGATTATGTAAAGTGATCTAAAAGGAAGCCAAAATGCACTAATATACAGGGTGTTCCATTTAAAAAAAATCATCCCGATCCACTCACACTTTTTTGAGCCACCCTATAGAAGTTAAAATATTTTCCTGAAATACATCCTAGTACATATTTTAGGTTTGCACTTAAACAAAATTCCTAAGTTTTTTATTTTAGGAGCTACAGATGCCCGACGCACTATTGCCGGACCCTGTATATCGAGTCGAAACACTATGGTTACGCTCGTTGAATTTGACACTTTATGTCAGTTTAATAATATATTTTCGTACTTTTATGCTTAGGCATAAAAGTGCTTTACTTTTATGCCTAGGCAGTAAAATGACTTTTTTATATTGTCACTCACGTCGCAAAAACTAATACCAGCTAATACTCTTATGACGTTTGAAAAAAAATATTTAAAACGTGATTTATAGGTATATTTATCCACTACCAAAATATGCCTTGACGGTTCGGTTTGGATCGAGATTTCAGCAAAATGAAGGTTTTGTTTATCAAGTTGCCGAAGTCATTGATCATCCACAATATGACTATGATGATATAGACTACGACATATCTTTACTTCGGCTGGGTAGACCAGTGACATTTGGTAACACTATCGAACCCATCCCTTTACCATCAAGAGATCAGGTAATCTATTAGTTACTTGCAGAGCTACAAGTTAACAGAAAACTTATAGTACGAGAGCTAGTAACGTCCGAAAAACAAGTATTTTAAGACGTCTGGTCCTTTGATATATCTTTTACTATGCTCTCTAGAACAGCATGCGGCCCATCTGGCTGCCGGTAAACGTTGCGTTCCCTACTGCGCATTGAAAGAAGATCCTATATTTTTATTAGTCCTTTAAATTCTAGTATTGAATATAAATCGAACATGTCTCGAAACGTTGCTAGCTCTTAGACTATTAAGTTTTATTTGATTTTAATCATTTTAATGACTTATGTCATTAGATTTTAAGTCACTTTTCCAAAACTGGCCTAAGACATAAAATTTAAGTAATTCTTTCAAAATGATTTGTGATTTATTATTGTATACATTATTCCGAAACAGAAAAGTGTTAAGTCGTTAAAAAAAGGCTGAAATATTTTAAAGCGGTTTTAGGCTCATCTGTAGCTACAATAACTTAATAATATAATCGATAATAATTGATAATACAAGATAATGTTTATTAACATTTAAGAAATAGGTATTTAAACTGAATTCTGGCAATTTTAGCCAATAGCAGTAGACGTACTTTACGTATAATAATAATAATGCTTTATTTTGCATGAATATCATTTACAAAAAATGTAATTTACAAATAAATAATAATAATAAAAAAAACATGCAAAAAAGGAACTGAAGACAATTAAAATTGGTTTAAATTCAGTTCCTGTCAGATCACAATATCAGCTAGCATAAATGTGTGTTATGGCTAAGCTAAATTATTTTACTGTAACTTATCTACAAATATAAGTAAATTATATAGTAATCCTATGACTAAGAAAATTTAGTATGAAATTCAAAAGAAATAAACACAAAGAAAAGTATTTTATACTAAAATAATTCTGAGGTAAAAGAAAACTAAGAGGGAAGAGAACTTTCCAGAAAATTTTTTTTAGTTTATTTTTAAATGCGGTCTTCAGAGGAAGGTTTATCATTTCTGCTGGTAAACAGTTATAGAGCTTGGAAATATTAAATGAGAAACATCTAGTGAACAAAGCTGTTTTGTGAGGTGGTGGAGTAATAAGTCCCTTAAATCTAAGGTTTAAGTTTTGCACATCTGTTCTGAATTTTATTTTATTCACCAAGTATGATCTAGGGTTTTACCAGATTCTCGAAAAATAGTTTATAACGTTTTAGCGTTGTTAATCTGATTATATTTTTTAAACCTAGCCATACCAACAGGTATGGTAGGCTATTAAGATCGGCAAAAAAAAGTTTTTTTAATTTCACTCAAAATGAGTTATTTGGATCATAAATGACCTAAATAAAAAATAATTTCATGGTGTCTGTCTGTCTGTCCGTCTGTCTGTAACACGATAACTCAAAAACCGCTAAACCAATTTTAACCAAATTTGGCATAAAAATACTGTGGCACCCGAGAATCTGGTTATTAGTATTTGGTAGTGGTGGGAGGTTGGTAAGGAGATATGGGAGGGGGTTAAAAATTTTAAAAAATCTTAACTCCAAAATTACAGTAGCTAGCGAAACGCGGTTTTCAATTTAAGATTAGGAATAATATTTGCAACAAAATTTGTTATAACCCCAAAATCAGTCAAAGTCGCAGTTTTTGAGATAAAAAAAATTGGAAAAATTCCTTTAGTTTCAAACTAAAAGAACTGCCTACCAACTTTTTATTAACATATTTTAGTATGGGCGGCTATACGTGTCTCCCGGCGCCAATTTTTTTAATCTGGAATTTATTGTCAGGGAATATATTTTCAAAGAGTGTATTATATTTTAGGCTTTGGTACCTGGTTCAACTTGCACAATAACTGGTTGGGGTACTTTAGCATCTGGTGGCGTTAGTCCAGCTGGATTACAAATGGTGCAAGTACCCTTGGTAAGCAATGAAAATTGCGAGGATTATTATTCAGTTTTTTATGGAGGTGAGTAAACATATGTGAAAATAAATATTTGTTGTATTGGTATTTAAGGAACAAGAGGCTAGGTGTCACTCTACATCAGTGACAGAGCTATAATTGTGTCTCAGTTTTATACCTATAATTAAATTACACCTACAATACTTATCTTTTAAAGAATAAGTAAAGAAAGACTCGATGAAAGATGAAAGGTTCTTCGATTCCGCTCTCGGTGACTCCTGCCCTTTAAATAGATATATTATATTACCATATACTGATATTACTGGATGCTAATTCAACAACACTTCATCATAAAATTAGGCATGCTATATATTCTTGACTAAATGTATTCAATATTTTCAATTTCTTAAAGTTATTTATATTTGAAACTACTGGCATAATTTTATCGCCACCTAATGATTTTTGTCTGGTATTTACCGTTGAAAAGAGCAATATTAACTGCAACATCTGCAAAAAATCATTAAACATTTAAACTGTTTAAATACAAAATATATTATTTTTTATTTCTCCATCTAACAAAAAATAAGAAAATCTACAGGGTGTATATATATTAAAAAACAAAGAAAAAACTATTTTGTATTTTAGAAAGTCGGGTATAATTCTGCATGATTTAAGATTACGATAGTAGTAATCTTTTTAAAAAGTCTGAAAAATATATTTATTTATATTTCTAAAATTGCAAAAAAAAATAATATGTAGGACCATGTAAAGTGATTAAATAAGAAAGTAAAAAATACAATAATATACAGGGTGTTTAAAAAATCATACCGATCCACTCACAGTTTTTAAACCATCCTGTATAGGAGTTGAAATATTCTCCTGAAATACTCGCAGGCCCCGGTCTAGTACATGCTTGTAGAATGTAGCACGTAGAATCTATGGGAGGGGGTTAAGCACCGCGACCATAGAAATCTGTTGTGTTCCCTTTCTTGAGTTATAACTCATCTCACAGTCTCAGGGCTTGTGCAAAAGCCAGTATCGGAAACGGTTTTATAGAGGTTAGTTCTCCATCTCCAATATCAGTTGTATTAAAGTTCATGGTACAAATGGTTTTCGTCTCGGCGCACTCAGTGATTAGGTATTCTGGTGTTTGCCCATTTTTCCCACAGAATCTGAATTCGCCATTGTTTCTTAGCTTCAGTCTACTGAGGTGTTTGTTGAGTAGACAGTTTTGTTACCCTGTAGAGAAAACCCCGTGACAATCCAAGGATTGTTTTCACTTAGATCAAGGAAAATATTTGATTTTTTTCGTTGTCTCGTTTCTCGTCGTAAGTTTTGAGAATTTTCTTTGAGTGTTTTAGAGTTGGAGGATTCCCATTCCAGGTTACGAATGGAGTCTTCCAGATTTTTGACTGCGTTAAGTTGGTTTCCACTTGGGAAACAAACAGAACAGTTCTGGTCTAGTTAGTGGAGAGTTCGCTCCTTTTCTAGCTAGATCCCAACTAGCAAATATAGTTCCCAGTCCTTCTTAAAATGTCACTGCCCCTAAAGTATAGTTCCTAGGCCCACTCTGCCACTTAAAATATTACTCTATGAGAAATAGTCACTTTGAAGTATATTTCGAGAGTGACCGGTTAGTCCCTACCTACCATAAAAGTGGAATACCTACCATAAAAGGGGAACCCCGATTGCAAGTCGCAAACATGTAATTTAAAGACGTGGCTGGAACTACCCGAATCTTCGAATATGACACCATAAAAGACCAAAAACTTTATAGTAACTTTTCAAAGTAGAGGTTACCAACAAGTGCTACCACAATGCCTCCATTAAGTTTTTGTTACTTTATAGTAACAATTTAAGTTACGGGGTAGTCGCGGCCACGACACCTAGTTTCTTTTAATTTATAGTAGCATTGAAAGTAGCAAAATGGTTACTGCTACCTTCCTAGGTTACTATAAAGTAGCCGTCGCTCATCCATTGCCACTAAAAAGTCACGGGGGTCAAAAACGGCTACTTTATAGTGACCGTAACTTAATATACCCTAATAAATGTAATTGTCTCAGATTGCATCGTGTGCTGCTCTGTTTTAGTGTTTTCTTTAACTTGCTTTTAAGCTTTATTAAAATTTTGTAAAATCCCTAAGGTAAAAAAAATTAGATGTTCTAGTACTTTCTACCGAAGAACTAAACAAAAGGAATCACTGCGAGCCGATGTATAAACATTAGAAACAAAAACTACATCTTTCTATAATCCTACTGATGAACATCATAAATCAGGTAGCGACTGAGACATTTTTGAAGCTGTTTCTGTAGATGAGTGTAGTGTTAGTTCATCTGAAACTGAATCTCAGAGGAGAACTAATTTGAGAACCAACAATATAAAACAAGAGCTGAAAGAGTGGGCGTTAAAATACTCTATACCTCATGTAGCTCTGAATAATATATATGTAGAAACACTAATAATAGAAAATGCACAATAAGTAAAAAATAACTTCAAAGGACAAGGCGGAACGTTATAGTGGCACTAATGGAATGTATAGTCGCCACCACCGCCATCGGTGTAGCAACGCTCCATTTAAGTGGCAATTTGATGGCTCAGGGAACTTTCTTGGAAAAATCACTTTATGGTTCCAAAGAATCGTTGACCATGTAGTTCCAAAATAGTTATTGTTTCTATAAAGTCGCCTTTGGATAGCTACAATTGTCACTTTATCAATCCGAAGATTTTAAAGGTCCAAACGGGTAGGGTTGGCCTAATATGTTATTGTTCCCGGTACTTTGTGGAAGCTACAAGTGAACTATAAAGTATTTTTCGGATTAAACGGCCATATTTTTTTCATGAATTTTTAGACTAACAACCAAATGGCTCAAACATTATGCGTTTTTAAGCTAAATATACCTAAATTAAAGCTTTTTTGCTTAGTTATTTTGATATTTCTGACGGTGGACTAATATTTTAAAGTTTGACCCCGGTTTCAAGCAAATTATTATTATTTTTTAATTACAAACATGAGTTTTTATTCCAAGAAATATAGTAATTTGAATTATTTTGAGAGGCGCTCAAAAATTTTGTTATATAAACCCACTATTTTATTCAGTAAAGTTGATTGCCTTCTGGAATTTACCTAAAAAGGCGTTAAAATCGCACGGTAAATAACAAATAACGAAAAAATAATAATGGCTTCCATAATTATTTTCCATCATGACATTTATTTTTATGAAATGTGAAATTGAATGAAGAGTCACGCTGCGAATAAAAAAGTTCAACAGTTTAACGAAAGTTCCACATGCTGGTGCATAACACTTTGGCTGCCACGAACCCGCGACTAGGCAGCTTACGATAAACTGATTGGTATTGTCGCAACGCCATAAGTCGCGACTCACCGGTAGGCACCCGGTAGTAACACATCGTAGTACTCTTTTAGTGGCAAAAACTACCCAAGACACTACCCGGCTACTCAAAATCTTTCCCCATTTTGGTTGCAGTTACTTAGCAGCTACGAATATACGACGTAGCTGCCGATGGTCACCGCCCACTTTGTAGTGGCTTTGATAGTAGCAGTTACGTATCTGCCACTATAAATGCTAGTTGGGATCGTCTGCTTTTTGATTGCCTTCTATCTCTTGGTGGGCTGGCATCCAGAGTTGGAGAAATTTATTACTTTTGCCTAATTTGTTGAACTTCTCTGGACATTCTTTAACCAACTTCGAATTGATAGTTATTGAGTTGATTGCTGACTGAATAAGCTAAGTACATACTTAGTACTTAGTATGTAATTAGCTTAGATAGGCTATGCAATTAAATAAAATTCCTAAGTTCTTTTTTTAGGATCTACAGATGGCCGACTTGCTTCAATGTTAATAATTTTATTATTTATTTCCAGCTGGATCAATAACAGACCGAATGATGTGCGCCGGATTTTCAGAAGGAGGAAGCGATGCTTGTCAAGGCGACTCTGGTGGTCCATTGGTAGTTGATGGACAACTGATTGGTATTGTCAGCTGGGGTTATTATTGCGCTCAGCCTAACGCACCCGGGGTGTATGCCAGCGTTGTATATTTCAGAGACTGGATACAACAACACAGCGGACTTTAAGAAAATTATAGATAAATACAGATACTTAAATTTATAATAACATGTAAAACGTTTTCTTAACTTCCAAAAATGTATGCAAATTTAAAATGAATGTTGTTACAATTGTAATAAACATAAAATGCTATATATGAGATTAATAAAATAAGATACATTTTACTCGGGAATATCACATCATTACTTTGAATGAGGTGGACAATGATTCAAAATGAAACTAAAAAATTTCAGACTATTTTCTTTATTTCCTGGGCTCTACTTATTTAAGCTCAGTAGTTTTGTACATAGATTAGTTCACACTTGATAACGGTCAGCGACGTTTCTAACCAAAAACGTGTAAGCAAAAATAATGGTATTTATGGAAGTCCGAAATTCTTTTAGTTTCAAAACATTATTCATACATGTAACCAAAACTATGAAATATGCAGGAAATAAAACAAGTCATTAAATAACAAGATTTTGATATCATAAGCATCTTTTGGATCATATGAGGAATAACAACAGTATAATTATTAATAGTTATTATATTAGGTGTTTCAAAAAATGTGTGCTATCTTCTCGTTGGATTTCTCACATAAAAAAATTTCTATTTTCATATCAACATAGGCCCCAAATTCTGCCTTTTGTTAAGTAGTTAATCGGCATTATAGTGTTTATCATTTTTCTTTATTATATTTGATTTAAAGTCAGTTTCGTGACCTGCTTGTTTTGATGAAAATGTTCCAATATCCACCCATATAAAAGTGTCCCTGGTGAGGCTATAACAGGACACTTTTCAGCTTTTAAAAAAATATGCGCGCCACTGACTTTTTTCTTTTGATATCAAAATTGTTTAGGCCGTTTAATGTCAACTCAAAATTTCATTCGAAACAATAAAATTACTTGGGAGAAAGGGTATAAATCAAATATTAAGGTTTAACACCCTGTAGCTGAAACTCAGCAGAAATCGGACCTATCGGTATGAAAATAAATCTTGTTACATGGTACCACGAATACATGTTTACTGAAACACCCTACTGAGTGCTAGGTGAGGTGCGAGCGTTGGTATCTCGAAACCGTAATAGATACGAAGATGGTTAAATCAGGACAAAGTTGCGCCAACTAGATGTTCACCAAGATACCATCAAAAAGTTTAAAATTTCAAGGATTGCTGAGTTTTGGAAAAACGGATTTTGGAAAAATCAATTTTATTTTTCCTGTCGTTACTTTTAGAAATCAAAAAACTAATTACACATTCTCATAAGTCACTTTACTATTACAGGACTATCTGAAGTACTTTTAGATTTTCAAATTAGCTGATAATTTGTGAGATACAGAGGCCAACTTATTTTTTTTAAATACGGACTTGCATTTTTTATTTCAGAAGAAGAACTCGGTCTCCTGAGTATAATGATATGCCACACCTGATACTTTTTTTGTTTTGGGTACCTCAACAACAACAAAACTAGTTAATTATTATTTAAAATAATTTCAAATACGACTCTGGTTTCTTAAATTATTTAATCTGGTTATATTCATTGCAACAATATTGATCAGCGCTAATTAACATTGAATAAGGCAAATCGAGCGAATTCAAAGATTCAAATAAATAATATCCAGGTCAGCAATTTAAAGATATTATTTTTTTAACTTTTTTTATTGTGAATTTGAAATCTCAGTGTACTAATGTATATCTAATAATATAATAATATTAATCATAATATATAATGTGTATCTAATAATATTCATAATATTAATCGTAGTTGTTATAAATAAATCAACTTCTATAAACTAGTTTCTAATGCTCTACATGTTCGAAAGGGTTACCACCCTTCCTAATGGACAAATTTATTTTTTGCTCAATCTTATTTATAGCTCTTTGAACATAACTTCTTGTGATAGTTCCGAATGCATTTTGTAATCTTTATTGTAAATGTTGAAATGTATTGATTTCACTTTTACAAACGCCAAGTAATGCCCCTTTAGCCCCTGCATTTGTTTTTCCGTATTCAGTGTTTTACCCCACGTCATTGTTAAGTTTGAAAGCTCATCAATAGTGTAACGATGAATAGATTAAATCTTGAAATTAGTTTAAATAAATTATGTTCAAATGTCCGAAACAAAAAAAAAATAAGTGTGGCATATCATTGTACTCAGGGTTCTTTCAAAATCTGAAATAAAAAATGCAGGTCCGTATTTAAAAAATTAAGTTGGCCACTGTATCTCACAAATTATCAGCTAATTTGAAAATCTAAAAATACTGTCAGATAGCCCTAATAAAGTGACAATGAGAATGTGCAATTAGTTTTTTGATTTCCTAAAAAGTAACGCCAGGAAAAAATAAAATCGATTTTCAAAAAACTCCGTTTTACCCAAAAAACTCAGCAATCCTTGAAATTTTTAAAAATTTTATGATGGCATCTTGGTGAACATCCTAAAACGCAACTTTGCCCCAATTTGATCATGTTCGTATCTATTACGGTTACCGAGATACCAATGCTCGTACCTCGAATTTGTAGCACCCTGTATAATTATGTATAATAAAACTTTAGAGTGTTTTTCCTCTTTAGCTTTAAGTCAAATTAAATTTTTATTAAAATCAAACAGATGATTAAGAACATTTAAAGAGTTAATCGTAATTTCAGAGTTAACTCAAATTTAGATGATTCTATTCATTCTAGTTAATTCTCTAGTCAAAAATTCGAGTAAAACTTTTTCAAACTAAACTATATTTCACTAAAATTGCGCTATGGTATTACGAATATTTACATTTCTAACAAGTGAGGCTGCAACTCGGGCTTTAATGAATATGAAATTATCTCAGTTTCAGAATAGAACAATTTTTGTTAATGCTCGGAAAACCATTCTATCGCATGTAGTTGATGAGATAAATTTTAATTTTTAATGAAATTTTGTGTATCCATGGTGAATTTTATTTTGCATCAAATATAACTCTTTGGAATGCCTGTTTCATATTACTTTGAATAAAAAGTTAAACCAAACTTTTAACAATCTTTATATTATGTTAATAAGTTTGTTATTTTGTGTCAGCTTTAAAAAAATATTTAGGAATTATATGAAATTATGATTCAGTTTTTAAACAAATATTTGAGTTCTTGTTAAATATTTAAATTAGAGGAAAATTGTAACTTAGTCAAACATTCAAACAAAAGAACAAGTATTTCAGAACAAGAATTGTTAGACTTCAAGTTTTAATTGCTTTTTTTCTTAATTAAAAATGTCTACAAGATGTAATGTAAAGTCGGCTAAAAAGTATCGCAAAGTTGAAATCATGAAAATATAGTTGAATAATTCAACTATATTTTCATGTTTTTTTAATGTTTTCTAAAATGGTATAGAAATTTGGAAAAGTATAAACGGGATTTGTAGAAAAAGCAAAAATTTTTATGCAGAATGCATTTTTTTCAAAATGTCAATAATAAAAAAGTGTTTCCTCTTGTAAAGACAATCCGGGGACATACTGTATAAAAATAGTGATATTAATATTAGTGTGAAAACTAAAAATTGTTTGATTAAATGAATTAATTTATTTTCTAGTCCATCAGTAAAAATTCTTTAATACATTGAAAACTCTGAAACTTTAAATTGAATTACTCAAAAGTGGGCAACGAAAAACATGAAAAAAATAATTAACCGCAAAAATAATTAACTTTGGTTTCAGTCCGCACCAGAACTTTGCCAGAGGTTAGAGCCTAAAAATACGTTTTTTTAGGTTAATTAAAAGTATTGATTAATTTCATTACAGAGAAGAAAGATTAAAAAATATTGATTCTCAGTCAACGCTCCACGCAAATATGTATTCCCCCCTTTTCGTATTACTGGGTTAATATAGGGTGATTCAGGCGTCCGAAAAAAGAGCATTTCGTGTCAGGTAAAAGTATTATTCGGTAATCCCGAAGCATCTTGTGGTATTACATTCGAGAATCGCGCCTAAACCGAAATTTAAATCGGTCATTTTGGGTCCCTATTGCGATTTTAGGCCAGTCAATCTAGAGGTTGAGGTGGTAAAAATTAGTAACCAACTGATCTCAACGGGAATCTGTAGATAATGATCTCCTATTTAACCCCTCAAAAGTCCCATTCGGTCCCAGTGGGGGAAGTTTGAAAAAAACCGCCGCCATCTTGGATTTTTTCGTTTTTTTCAAATATCTCCGTTTGTATAACTTTTTTCGAAAAAACTAAAGAAATAATTTTTGTAGAGAATTAAATTTGGAATATTTTACTTTCAATCATTTTTTTTTAAATAAATAGTAATAGAGATAAAGCAATTTTTTACTATACTGTTTTATAAATTTTCCAGTCTTTTTAAACGAACCAGCTTTAATTTTTGCGTTAACAGTATAGTGTTAATATAGATAACCAAGTATAAATTTAAGCATTACAACAATTAAAAATAACGTTTAAATATTATTTATTAAATAAAATTATTGTATAAAAAATTATTATTAAATTAAAGTTATTAAATGAAATCTGGTATGA